TCTGATCGGCCACCAAAAAATCTAAAAACTCACCCCAATTCAGATAATAATTCTATGAAAAGTTCATTGTGTAAGTGCGTCTGGTTATCAGGCAGTAGCCTAAGACATGCCAAATCAAATTCACTTTCACTCATATTGCCGCGCAGCCACTGCTTCATATACTCGAAATACCTGCAAATATAACTGACGAGGTCCAATTGTGATAAAGGTAAGAAATGTATATGACTTAATGGATCGAAACATTTCTTACCTATTTTATTAATTCTTTACAACCTTTTCATCGTTTTTTGCTAATATTTTCTCTCTAACTCTAAATACCAGTTTGAACAAAAACAATAAGAATACCGCAGATTCTCACTTCTACAATTTGCTAAAGCGAAAAAACAAAAAAAAAAAAAATGATTTAACTGGCCGTAATTTCTAACCGCAAAAACTTAAATTACAAAAAATTAAAGAAAAATCAATGGCTTAAAAAGATTTTTAAATTAAATCGAAAAATCAATGGCTTAAAAAGATTTTTAAGTTAAAGCGATGCAGCACTGGTCGGAGGAAAATCTGACTGCTTCCGGTTTCGATCACCGGCTCAGCCCCCGTCCTCCCCTTCCCCACCTTCCACGCCTGGGTAGAGGGCCTGTCCAGCTGTAAGGGTGCTCCTGCAGGGTTCGGAAGTACTCGTCTACACCAATGAATAATGTTTATTTGAGAAAAAAAAAATAAAATTCACACAACAAAGCAGACCGATAAGCGTGGGGAAACCGGCGGCAACTTCAAACTGCCCCCGTACAATTATTTTGCACGGAAAAACAAGCACCACTTCATTTCTAATCACGTCATCACATATCATGGACCGGAGAGGAGAGAGAACTCAAGTCAGGAGACGGGACATTTGCATATCACATAGAATCGAAGGGCAACTGGGCAAGGCTAAGAGGTTTAGCCGGCAGCTTCGCTTCCTTGCTGTTAACACCTTGTTCCTTTTACAACATGTACGGTCAAAAAGAAATACGGCATGCATCCTTCGCTCCATCGTTCTTTACGTCACAGAGCTCGTTTTTCTGGGTCAGTGATCGCGTTTTATAGATGTACTTATGTGAAATAATTGAAAAGATGCATAAAAATTTATGTGAACCTTTCGCGTCTCTGCTCATCGAGTTGTGTCATCAGCCGGTTGCGCATTCCAGAAAAATCAGTTCGCAATACTTTTTTCACATCGTACTCTTCATCAGTAGCGACGAACATCTTACTTTAAATATTTCAATTGAAAAAAAAGAAATTCATCTTTCCTACATATCTCTTACTGTAGGTCACCGGGACGAAAATTTTCAAAACCTTCTGCGTATTGGCTCGTTACAAGCTACCAAAATACATGGGAAGTAGGCCAAGCAGTAGCAAATGTCAGTTACTTATCCATGTTGATAAAATTGCCCATGGATCCACGTTCAAGAGTTGCTTAGGAGCAAGCTGACGGCTGAATTGACTCCCTGGCATATGTCAGTACCAATTTACCATCGAAACGAGCGAATGATTTCAACAAGAATGGTTTTCTCATTGGTGGAGTGGCAACCTTGGCCTACTGTGGCTTCGTCTTGGTAATAATTGCCTTCCGTATCTAATGACTTTGAAGGTAGCATAATGCTGGATTTACGCAAGCAGGATGTAAAACAAAGAAGACCACTGGACGGGTAGTCCCTCAAAGTTACGAAACGAACGTCAGGATTACTTGCAGGCTAACCGCTGGACAAGGCAGTATTGGTCAAAGTAATTACTCAAATGGAGAAATCGCTAGTTGCATGACTTATAAAAAAGCAGATCTTGAAATAAAGCTGTTTTTCCGATATTTCATTGGGATGATCCGGGAAGGGAGGTACCTACCTGCCAGTCCTTCCCTTGCCACAATTCTATATATAATCAAACAG